GCTGGATTTCGCTGAGTCGCCATGAGATCTACACCAAGATGGCAAGATTACAACAACCTCGATGAACACACGGGAGAACAAACCTCACAAATAGCAAACATTTAAAATGTAAACCACTGAAAGCTCTATCAGCCTCTTCCTGTTTTGTACCTCTTTACTCCAGGAGATGCAGGAACTCAGATATTAGACAAAGAGTAGGACTTAAGGATCCTAAGTCACGACACACATCCAAATCCATGCGTGTGGAACACACAACTGTGGAGCTCTACCAACAGCTCCACGACAGCTGATGTTTCATAAAGCAAGTGATTTCCACAATGCCAATTTGGAGCAGAGTTTGCTTGAGCAGTGGAGGATTTTTTTATACTGCAAACTAGGAGCTTTTTAAAGGTACCATTAAAGGTAAAAATAAGTCCCTCAGCTCTTGGGTTTACAACACTGACAAAATGTGAAGAGGAAAAACATGACTACTTGTAATGTCCTTAAATGTGTGCCTGAAGTTATGGTGACCATATAAAACTCCTCAGAAATACATAAAGGAGAGATAAGAGATAAGAACTGAAACAGGAGGAAGAGAACATGCTCTTCGAGGGGGGAAAAATCCATAGGTTGCACGTACAACAGTGCTTTTGTCTTGAATGCAAATTAAGGCAGAGCTGTTAGATAAAGCTGCACAGGAGTTTAGCTTTGATTTCTGTGAAATGCTTTCAGGAGAACAGCACTCACTAGTGCTGGTACCAACCTCTGCCAGCAAACCTGCACGGAAAGCAAACACACTGCAATCACTTCATTTCCTTGGTAAAGCTCCCCAGTTACTGTGCTCCAGGCAGAGGAATTCTGTCACCACTCTGGCTCCTGGCTTGAGTGAGGCAGTGGCAAAACACTAACACAGGTGGAGTTAGCAGCCCAAACACTTCTGGGCCCATCACATCATGACACTTCCTACTTTCATTACCACAACACCATAACGTTGTGTTAATTTACAGGTGTAAAGAGCTCAGCATGAGTGTGCACCAGTGAACACCTGCTCTGCTGTTCTTGCTGAGCTCTAGGAAGCAACTGCACCACACAGTCCCAAACCTTTAGAGGAATAAAATATATGGACTACCATAAAAAGCATTTTCCTCCGTATTAAATCATAGGATCATAGAATTTTAGGGGTTGGAATGGAGCTTAGAGATGACCCAGCCCCTGCCCCTGCCCTGGGCAGGGACACCTCCCACCAGAGCAGGTTGCTCAAGGCTCAGCCAACCTGGCTGTGAACACTGCCAGGGTTGGGGCAGCCACAGCCTCCCTGGGCAACCTGGCACAGGGTCTCACCACCCTCACAGGGAAAACTTCTGACTAACATCTCACCTAACTTTCCCTCTTTCAATTTGTGCCCATTACCCCTTGTCCTGTCCCTGCAGCTCCTAACACAGATCCCTCTGCAGCTTCCCTGGAGCCCCTTCAGCTCCTGGAAGGTGCTCTGAGGTCTCCAAACAATTCTCTTAGAATCATAGATCATCGAGTCCAACCCTACCATGGTTACTAGACCATGGCACCAAGTGCCACATCCAGTCTCATCTTAAACACCCCCGGGGACAGTTGATCCAGCACCTCTACAGTGACGGGGGAAATGGAGACTGTGTGAAACCATCTGTTTCCCCTAGATATCCATCTAAACCCAATGAATCACTCCCAAAGTGCCTCTCTGCCACTCATCAAGGGAACTGACATGATTAGCTTGGCCTGGACATCTGCAGTCAAGAAAAACGTCATTCACCTAACCAAGTGGTTACCCCGGGGCAGGGGTTGGGAATAGATGATGCATAAGGTCCATTCCAACCCCTAAGATTCTATGATTCAATGACTTCTTCACTTCAGGAGTTTTCATTTCTCCCATGCACTTTAGCACAGCTCAATAAAAAAAAAAAAATCAATTGGATTAAACATTTCATTAACAATTGGTTATTAAGGTGAGTATTAATGGATTTTTTTACACCTCTGTTTACAGCAATGGCAAAGCTGGATCTCACCCTGATAACTCCTCAGTTTACAAGCAGAGGATGACTATGACATGAATTCAGTGTTATGATATCTGCAAATCATGCCAAGGGGCCAAACCTTCCCTTACTCAGTGCTAGGACTGGACATCTCTTTCCATGTGTGGAGAGAAGAGACTGCACAGCCTGTTGATCTAGAGGGACTGGGCATATACCACAAATACCCAGGAAAAAAGTTGAAAGAATGTTTTAGTCTGAGAGGTAACCATCCCATCTGTGCACATGCTGTGTTCAGGCTGGCATGACCACTCCTCCCTTTCAGCTGATTCTTTTCCCATCCACAGGAATCAATGGGACTGATTAACCAGAGTGTTATGAAATAAGTGGCAGCAGAACTGCTCCTGTGTGCCAGCAACATGGGACAGAAAACACAGGACAGACATCAATACATAATCACTCTGCTCTCTTTGCAGAGTATGGACACCAAAGTCACCTAGCTTTGTGTTAGAACTCACTGAACACCATGCAAGATGCATCTCAACCAACCAATATTTTCAGGCAAGTTAATGGCTCTGGGATTAATCTCTCACACACGTTCCAAGAGTGGCTACTGTTCACTCACTGCAGTGGAAGCGTTTTGCTTTCAAAGTCTTCCAGTAGCAGGTATTCCTGCCCTTCTTCCGAGAGAAAGGCTGACCCTTGGCTGCTTCACAAGCATGGGAAAGATGAGGAAGACAGTGTTTAGCATTTCAGTACACTCCAGAATGGGCCAGAACAATAAGGGGTTGAAAACAGCCTTTGGCTGCATTTTCTGATCTAGGATCCCAACACAAACCTTAACATCTCACTAAATGCCACAGGGAGACAATGCTCTGTCTCAGTCAACAGTGACCAGAGCACAGAAGTATTTCAGACAAAAAACAGCCTGAGTGTTACAGCTGCAATCGCTGCATCCCAGGTACCATGCCAATGTTTAGCTGAGTTAAATATTCCTACAAAGCCAGAATTTATTTAAATCATCTCTACACTCCCAAAGATTTTGTTCAGTTCTTTCTCAGTTCACTTGGCATTTTACCTCCATTGAACCTTCTGCCTTTCCCAGTATTTTCTGGCAAAGATGGACTCTACACTTTGCCACACTTTGTGTCCCATTTTATGGTCTTCTCAGCCTCTATTTAACCCACACACCACATAACTGTGGTCAGAAAGCCAATTACACATCCCAGCCTTCATCATTCCTAGAAACAGGCTTCGTGTGGTGGTGTCAAACCTCCACTCTATGTCTCTCCCAGAGGCAAATGCTCCTCAGACCCGTTTCTGATGGTGCAGAGCACTGAATCAAGTCAAGACTCCTCTGCCAAGACACTCTGGAAAGGAGACCACACTTGTAAAAGCTTATGGCAGAACAGTGCCATTCCTCTTGGGCACTACCAGCTTCTAAACATCACTGAACACTGAAGCCTTCAGCAGTGAGGAGGCAACACTGGGTTTGCCCTTCCCCTGCAGGAGGTTTTGGGGCACACCACACTGCCTGTGACCTGCACATTCCATACTCTGGGGGAACTGTGGGCTCACTCCTCTGTTTTGTAAGGAAGATTGTAAAAGGTGGATACTTTTCTACCATGTAATCATCAGTAAATGGAGCAGGAAACTCCTCAGGCATAACAGAGCAAGATGAAAACGCCAAGGGAGTGCAGAGCACATGGCCCAGGTAAAACTGGCAGAGCATCAAGGTGCTGATGAAGAAGGTACTGACCCTAAGGAAGCATGTGAAACACACATGAAAACACATCCAAAGGAGCTTTCCTCAGCCTTCCAAGTACTCCTCTGCAGTCACAAAAATAACATGGTGCTTTGTTTATTTTCCTGGAAATATCCCAGCAGCTTTGGTTTAAAATCACTGCAGAAAAGCAGCTTGCCAGGGAGATTTATCAGTGCTCCCACAGAACACTCAGGGCTGGAAGGGACCTCTGGAGATGACCTGCTCCAGCTCTTCACATAGTTCTGAGCAAAGCCCTTCAAAACCAGGTGAGGCTCCTCAGGAGCTTGTCCAGCCAAGCAGTTCATTTGTTGATCTTTTGGATTCATTTAAAATAACCTTTATAAAGAGGACAGAGATTCCACTCTGTCCCTGCACAGCCTAGTCCAGGAAGGGCCATCACAAGCCATTCTGGCAAAACAGAGTGATATTTCCCAGACAGCTCCCATGAATATCATGTCCTCCTATGCAGGAGGTGCTGTGCATTTATTTCAGTTAGAAGTGGCAGTTGGGAGAAACAAAGAGACCGTTAATTCAGTCGAAGTTCTAAGTTCTCCTCTTCCATTTCCTACTGAACACTTCTCTGGAGAATCAACTGTGTAGGTACTCTTTGATTCAGTACAGAATAAATCCTATTTGAGCTTGCTTTTAAAGACCTGTTCCTTGGGAAAAGTTAACATTCAGGATATGGAAATTGAGTGGTTTCAGCCTCCTGCACTCTTAGCTATCATAAAACAACTGGTTTTAACTCTTGCTGGCAAGTCTGACCCATGCTAGGAATAGTGAACCTCAGTGACATGGTAACCTGGCAGGTGATAAATCCCTTCCATGAAAGCTTGAACTGGCAAAACTGGGGCACCAAAGACAAAGAGAGAAAGGCTAAATTCCCCCAGTTTCTTCTAGTCCTAAACTGAAATAAACACAGCAGATTGTGGCTAAAGAAAAAAGTTCCTCTCTGCCACACTCCACTCCAAGCTCCGATGAAACGCTCGCATCACTGTGTTATTCTGATACCTCCTGTGGACAACTGCTGTCCACACTTTTGGCCAAGGCAATGTGGGTCTACCACTGATCAAACAACTGACCATTGCTGCATAAAGTTCAAGCACAGAAAGAAGTCACAAGCAGCTTCCTCAGGTGGATTATGCACGTCCAAATGCTCGATGCCTCAGCAATCAAAAGGTGCTTCTAGCACAACTTTCTTGGCCTGTAATACAAATAAGTGTTATGAAGAAACGAAAGCCACTTACCTCATAGGTTCAGGTTTTTTACTTTGACAGTTTATTAGCAGTAAGTAGTCTTGAGGATCTTCTTGACCAGAGGAAGACTCCAGTGGGGGGATGTTAATGAGGCGATAAGGAGATGGGAGGGAGGATTCTGCTTGAGAGGAAGGAGGTGAAGTGTTGATGGGCAAGGGGAGCTCAGCAGATGGTTGTAAAGAACTGACTGGTGGCTTCACAGCGTCTGCAAAAACAGAAGCAAAGCCTTCTTTATGCAGTGAAGGAAAGGTCTTTCAATACTACCAAAAGACAACTATGAACAGAGGAGGAGAAAAACCTCCTCTGTGAAATCCAGGGACACCAGAACCTCTGGATATTGACACATGTTTCAGAGCATTTAAATTCACAGATAAATCTTTCTATCTTCAAACTGCAATCAGTGTCTGAAGTATGCCTTGGAAACTGAGGTTATGCTTTGTTTAATGACCTATTTAACCTGCTTTCTGTCACAGAATGAACGGAGGTGCTGATAGCTGCAGTACCACAGCTAAAAACACAAATGTGTTGTTTCAGTCAGGAGCAGACAAAGGCCCAGAAGTTAGTACTTTAATATGGCAACCTGAGTCAGCACTGGCAGGTACTCATCCCTTTTGACCAAGGTCACTCCAACACTTGAGGTGAGTCACCAGGCAAGAACTGGCCACTCTCAATACCTGAAAAGCAACAGGGAAAACATTGTTCCTCACAGCTAGGGACATAATGCAGAGGTACAACAGGTACCATGTCCCACCAAGCCCCTAACTACACAACCCAATTTTCATTGCAGTGCAACAAAAGAAGCAATTGTGGTTGAGATTGTGGTTTCTGGTTTGTTCTTGTTTTGTTTTGGCTTGGTTTGGGTTTCTTTTCCTCTGTGTGTGTGAAGAGGTGTGGTATTGTTGTTTTTTTTAAATTACCTTATCTTTGTAATTCTTATCCACTTCCTATCTATGTATATTCTAAAGTAACTGACTAATTAATTATCTGGGAGACTAGAAAATATTGACACTGTCAAACATAAGATTCACAGGATTTTAGGGGTTGGAATGGAGCTTAGAGATGATCCAGCCCTAACCCCCTGCCCTGGGCAGGCTCAGCCAACCTGGCTGTGAACA